CGAGACAGAAACTTTGGAGGTCGTGGTCATGATCACGCAAATGTCTACTAACCAGTCGTCAGTTCTGATTCAGGTTAATTAATGAAAGTTCGTTTCCCCTCCAAAAGAAAACTCATATACCCAAGAAATGTAGGCTGATTTTCGAAAATGTTCAGGAAATAGAAAAAAATGTTGTTAATTGGAAAATTGTTAACAAATTTGAACAAATACTCAGAAATTTAAAAAAAATCGTTAGTTTAAAAAAATTCACGAATTTTAAAAAAATCGTAATTTTAAAAAATGTTCAATGATTTAAAAAAATGTTCTCAAATATGAAAAATGTTCCCGAGTTGATAAAATAAAAATTTCATAAATTGATAATAAAACTACAAATGTTAATAAATTGATTAAAAAATTAATAAATAATAAAGTAAAAAGAAGGACAAGCCTAATTAAATAAATAAATAAGGCCGAGAATTTCTATAAGCTTCGCAAAATCGGTTGAAAGGAACAGTATGAGCCGGCCAACTTAAGGATATGACAACTGGAGCAGTGTACACTATGTACCAATAAGCACCAAATAGTATTGTCCCCCGCAAGGTTCCAGTTTGTTTGTTTTTCTACTGGTCTTCTTTTGTTTTCTTCTTTCCGCATTTTTTTATTTGCTTTCAAATAATTGAATATTAGAAATATTTCTAAAATTTCAAGAAAATTTTTAAATTTCAGATATTTTTAAATTTCAGAACAATCAATAAATTCCCAGCAATTTGTTAAAATAATATCATTTTCTAAAGTATTATATATTTTTCTGAATTTCCAAATATTAACATTAATGAACACTTTCCAAAATTTGTTAGCATCTTTTTAATTTTTAAAACTTTTTAAATGCATGAACATTTTTTTAATTCACAAACCATTTGATATTCCTGAATATATTTTTTTGAAATTTAGAGACATTTTTAAATTCTGGAACATTGCTTTTAATTATGGGACATTTTTTAGAACTCACAAACATTTTTCATTTCCGCAAAAAATGATATTGTTTTCCTATTATTGCCAATTATTTATATTTTTTCCCTCCTTTTTCTAGTTTCCCTTTTGTGTGTTTTCCCTTCTCTACTCCGTATGGACCAAGGCCCACATAGATAGACCGGCGAGCTGTCGAAGGGACGCCTGGAGGCGTGCGCATTTGTTCGCCATCACGTGATCTATGCGCTAACAAGGAGCTCTAATGTCCACCTGAAGGCTGAGTGGCCGACGATGGAACATTCCATGGCAGGAAGACAAAAAAGGTCCGGCCTATTTAGTCAAGGTTCACTAAGTTATGAGGCTAGACATGCCATGTTTTTTGACATAAAAACTGATCCAACTCAACCAGATTAGATAGAACTAGCCTCTTTCGAAATAGGCTTTTGGCCCGCTCTTTAGGGAAAACACCAACATGCTTGTGAAATTTTGTTAGTTTTCTGGCCGAGTGCCGAGGGGAGCTCGTGGGACATTCGAATATGTAGATCCAGAGTAAGGCATCTTCTCTCTTTCTCGTGAGCTTCATACATTGCAGCTTTGTTTAGTTTCTTTTGGAAATTGAATTGTTAAACTTATATACACGTCTTTTTATTGTTTTGATGAGCAGGCACTATATGTCTGGCCAGCTAAGTGAGAAGAGTAGCATTTATTGTTCAATACAAGTAAAAGCAAGATTGGGGTCCTCTGTCCTCTGCCGATGTGGCCGGTTCAGTCTTTCAAAGGTGCACATAGGGATATGATGTGTGTTCATAGAGGTGAGTGTGCGTGCGTGTATGTGAGTGTCTGCATCTATTGACATAAAAAAGGATATCAAAATCGGTGCATATATTTTATGTATGATATATTATCAAATCTAATTGAGCACTTACGTGTTTGCATGTGAAAAGCCTAATGTATTTTCACGTGATTTTAATTTCATCGGTGTTTCACAAATTTAAAAGCCCGGTGTTTCTACTCTTTTCTTTTACCCCAAAAGAATGTAAGGTATATGGTCCACCTCGTCCTTCACCCAACCTTAGGTACTTTCGGCCCTCTCTCTTTTTTGGTTTTTTTCCTCATATATCTGGGTCGTTTCATCGATTTTCCTTAAAACAAAACTACCAAATAAAATTATAGTGTATTTAGTAAGCTAATAAGTGTTAATCACGAGCAGGATTCGATAAACATATATTTACATAATCATATTAATATAGGCAAATAATGTTGGAAATATGCCGTAGAAGCAATAATAAAATGTTATTATTATATTTCCTTATTCATGATAATTGTCTATTGTTCATGCTATAATTGTGTTATCCGGAAATCGTAATACATGTGTGAATGCACAGACCACAGCATGTCCCTAGTGAGCCTCTAGTTGACTAGCTCGTTGATCAATAGATGGTTACGGTTTCCTGACCATGGACGTTGGATGTCGTTGATAACGGGATCACATCATTAGGAGACCCCTAAGTGGGCTGGGCGCCACCCCCCTAGGGCCCATGCGCCTAGGGTTGGGGGGGACCCTAAAGGGGGAGCCCCCCTTGGCTTGAGGGGCAAGCCCCCTCCCTTTTGAAGGAAATATGCCCTAGAGGCAATAATAAAGTTATTATTTTTTTCCTTATTTCATGATAAATGTTTATTATTCATGCTAGAATTGTATTAACCGGAAACATAATACATGTGTGAATACATAGACAAACAGAGTGTCACTAGTATGCCTCTACTTGACTAGCTCGTTGATCAAAGATGGTTAAGTTTCCTAACCATATACATGAGTTGTCATTTGATTAACGGGATCACATCATTAGGATAATGATGTGATTGACTTGACCCATTCCGTTAGCTTAGCACTTGATCGTTTAGTTTGTTGCTATTGCTTTCTTCATGACTTATACATGTTCCTATGACTATGAGATTATGCAACTCTCATTTACCGGAGGAACACTTTGTGTGCCACCAAACGTCACAACGTAACTGGGTGATTATAAAGGTGCTCTACAGGTGTCTCCAAAGGTACTTGTTGGGTTGGCGTATTTCGAGATTAGGATTTGTCACTCCGATTGTCGGAGAGGTGTCTCTGGGCCCACTCGGTAATACACATCACTATAAGCCTTGCAAGCATTGCAACTAATGAGTTAGTTGCGGGATGATGTATTACGGAACGAGTAAAGAGACTTGTCGGTAACGAGATTGAACTAGGTATTGAGATACCGACGATCGAATCTCGGGCAAGTAACATACAGATGACAAAGAGAACAACGTATGTTGTTATGCGGTCTGACCGATAAAGATCTTCGTAGAATATGTAGGAGCCAATATGGGCATCCAGGTCCCGCTATTGGTTATTGACCAGAGAGGTGTCTCGGTCATGTCTACATAGTTCTCGAACCCGTAGGGTCCGCACGCTTAACGTTCGTTGACGATATAGTACTATATGAGTTATGTATGTTGATGACCGAATGTTGTTCGGAGTCCGAGATGAGATCACGGACATGACGAGGAACTCCGGAATGGTCCGGAGATAAAGTTTGATATATGGGATAGTAGTGTTTGATCTCCGGAAGGGGTTCCGGATGTTTCCCGAAATGTTTGGGCATGAGAACAC